CCTGTTCAGCCTCCACAAGAGAAGGCGGAGGGGGATCTAGTGGCCTGTTACAAACTAGTCAGGGGGGACCAGCAGGCATTGGGGGAGTCCCTGTTCCCCCGAGCACAGCCAGGAGTGACCAGGAACAACGGTCACAAGCTGGCAGAGGGTAGATTTAGGTTAGACATCAGGAGGCGCTATTTCACGGTCAGGGCGGCTAGGGTCTGGAACCAACTTCCAAGAGAAGTGGTGCAGGCTCCTACCCTGGGGGTTTTTAAGAAGAGGTTAGATGAAGACCTTGCCAGGGTTGTTTGACCCCAGTACTCTTTCCTGCCGTGGCAGGGGGTTGGACTAGATGATCTTTTCAGGTCCCTTCCGACCCTAGAAACTATGAAACTATGAAACTAATGGTCTTGCTGTTTCACCAATCAAGCTAGCTTTTATTCTGCATTTCTGCTGTCTGTCCCTGGTGCGGAAGCTCTTATTTGACAGTCCTGCAGATTATTTGTAAAATTAACTTGTATTTGTTGTTGCTTCAATACAGTGCCAGGCCCCTGGCATGTTAGTAAAGCTTCTAGTTTCTCTTTAACTAGAGAAAAATATGTGCTGTTTCATATGTGATGATGCACCTCATGATCTGCTCCCCCCTTTTCAAAATTCTGGGTCTGTCCATGTACGCATCCTTAGTAACAATATGGTGGTAGGTGTGTGGTTTAGGTATAACCACGGTACAGATCTGAGATAAGACTAGACATAAGTCATTTTCCTTCCCCACTCTCAACCACGGCAGATAATCCTGATTTCAACCCAGGATTTAAAGACTGGGAGAGCCATGGGATACATATACATGGGCTAGCTACTCCCTAAGGAAACTTTTCTGACTCAATTTGAAATCCAAGCAAGCTGTAACTATTTCACATTCCAGTACCAAGACCTCTGATGAGGCCTGATGTTTCTCAATGGTCTAAAAAACTTGTTTTATCCATATGAAGAGCTCAAAACCATGATTCTCAATCAGGGTGCTGGGGCACCCTAGGGTGTCACCAGATCATCTGAAAGGTGCTGGGAGGTGCGAGGAGATGCGAGATGAATTCGGAGATAGGCAGACAAGGGTCTTTGGGTAAATCCGATATCTTTTATTAGACCAACTAAAATAGTTGGAAAACTTTTCTTTGCAAGTTTTTGGGTACAAAGCAGATAAACTGAGCAGATAAGCACAGGCTCAAACTTGCCCCTGTCTGGACAGTCCCCCACTCCCACTGCCGGATCCCTCTGCAAGGAGGTAAGCACAGTAATCTAGACATTAGTTGTTGAAATGGGGTGCCACCCCACATGCAGAAGTCATAGAGGGGGCCCTGAGTCCAGAAAAGTTGAGGAACACTGGCTTAAAGAGAAGCAATGGCTGCTTCTGGCTGATTAGAGCAGTGGTCTCCAAACATCTTTGATCACGCACCACTATCAGTAAAAAATTTTTGAGCACGCACCCTCAATATATGTATATTTATTTATTTATAAATTATATACATGTACTACTGCACTAATCTATTATGTACAATATATATAGATTAAAAACAAATATAAGTAGTTCTAATATTTTCTTCCCGCACCCCAATGGATCGTCTTGTGCACCCCACTTTGGAGACCACTGGATTAGAGAAACAAGGAAAGAACAATTTATGACCAGATTATATCAGAGAGAGAGAGAGAGAGACTTGGCTGTGTTCATATGAAGCCAGGCAGAAGCCAGGGTAGAGTTGCACCTTGTAGACTAAGTCAGAGCTATATAGCACAAGTTTTGGTAGCCCAAGCTCGCTTTATCAGAAGTATTTTCACAGTTCAGGCACACAAGACTTTAGGCTATACATCTCTGATTTAGTTCATCTATAAAGTGCAAATCTACCCTACCTTCTTCCAAGCTGGATCAATCATTGCAGACAAATCTCCTAACAAGAGAAATGCCTGGGCATTGCAGGGTAGGAGAAGCATTTAGATGGACAAAGGAAAAGAGGACCAGCTCCTCCAGTTGCATGAAACTTTTTAGAAAGGTTCTTTCAATGTGTGATGGTACATCAAATTTCCTAATGAGAAAGCCATTTCCTAACAAGTGGCTTCCCCAGTGAAGCCACTGAGGAGCTGTGCTGCTATTAGGCATCGATGGTGGACACGGCCAGTCATTATTGTAAGCGCATCTTACAAGCTGTTGGGTTTTTATTCCCAAAATGACCATGTGGTCATCTTCCTGGGACCTCCTATGTTTTTGTGTTCCTTGCTGGAAGAGTCACTCAAGGAAATAACTCATGAACCTCTCATTGGTGACTGGAGCACAGAGAGCCAGTCAGTGAGAAAGAAAATCCATCAAAAATGAGAGGAATGGAAAGTGGTTGTTACGGAAAAAATGAGTCAATCCCATACGCAGCCAAACAGAGAGAGGACAATCAGATACTTAGGTCTTTGCTTTCCATTTATTCCGTATTCACATAAGGCAAATTGTCCTAGGGAAAAAAAAAATCACCCCATGGCTCCAGTTTCTTAATATTAACACGTGGTAAACACACACTGGAGGTGGTGAACATGACCACAGTCTGTCACATCTCTCAGTGTAATCAAATCAAAAGAAACGACACATCCTTGACAGTGTAAAGAGGCTCCTGTTGCAATGTGGCAACCCCTTGCCCTTGGAAAGGTGCTGTGGGTCTGCTACCGCGTGGCATTTCCCTAGATCAGAACAAAAGCTCATGGTCGCAGTGATGATGGTTTTGCTCCCAATATTTACATGGCAGCAATTTGCAAACCCGTTAGTTTTCCAAACTAAACAGTTATAAAAAAGCCTGGAGTTGAAGTGAAATCAATCATATACATATGGGTACAGAACTGCCTGGCTATGCCTTTGCATACAGTGTTTTATATAGTCTCTCTCTCTCTCTCTCTATATATATAGTCTCTAGTGGGTTATGGAATAGAGAAAGTTCCCACACAATTTACTGATTCGTTTGATGCGCCTGGCTGGGGGAGTATTTGGTTGATTGTACAATTTCACAATGATTGCACACTTAATTCATACAACACAATTTTATTTTAAAACTCCTTGCTACACATATAACACTGCTTAGCTTTAAGAAAAACCACAAACATTAAAAACACAATAACTACATATATTAGAAACAATGCTCCAAAAGCACTTCCTTCCCAAACGACGCTATAAGAATCAGTATTACAAAAACAACTACAATTACAAGTAAAGGTTAAATTGGAATCGCTACTATTATTTCTCATGATATACTTACAATCCTAGAATTCCTAGAAACCAAATCCCCAAGGATACTTTCATTCCTCAGTTATGGCTTTAGGGTTGGTCTCAGCAGTGATAGGAACAAGTCCCCTTCCTTCGGTCCCACTCAGGCTCTCTGCGGCTTCAGCGAGCTCTTGTTGACGGAGAGGGTGGTTCGGGTGATCAGTCTGATCCAGCCTACACTTGCGATTCTTCCTTCGGTGTTCTGCAAGTGAGGTTACCTCCAAATTGGGACTCTAGGTTACAGTTTTTATTGGGTGAGTTGCCATCTTGGGTGCCTCCTACCCAAACCTGTCACTACTCCCAAATTTGGGCTCGGATCTTTTACCCAACAGATTCCTTTCCTGGGTCTTCTTTGGGAAATCTTCCACATCACCGCTGTGACCTCTTGCCAACCCCTCCCCAAAAGTCCCTAGGTTTCGACATCTCAGAGTGTTTGCCCAAGGGTCACTTTTAGGTTAACTTGGTTAAAGGCCTCTAGAGATCATATTCAAAACCCAAGACATTCAGCACGTTCACTGCAAGGCCTCTAAAGATAAAATTCAGAATCAAGACATTTATCATGTAGGCAGAAACAAGCAATGACCCTAGATAAAAAAAATGAACTTTGCCTTTTTTCCTAAACTGGCTAATGGGTATTTATTACAAGCATTCAAACTATTGCATTCAATATGACGTATTGAATGCATATTTTATATATATATATATATATATATATAAAACCATTGTTATATATAGCAAGTGTTATATATAGCTGGTGTTATCCCAGGTGTCATGTGGCTGCTCTGAGTATTCCTCTGCATACAATGGATACCTATCTAGCTATCTATAGATATATATAGATATGCAGATAGAGAATCATTGGTGTATATAAATGTGTGTGTGTGCGCGCGCGCGCGCGCACACACACACACACACACACACACACACACACACACACACACACACACACACACACACACACACACACACACACTCGGACCCCAAGTTATGTGGGGGATATGTTCCTGAAAAACACTGTGTAAAGTGAAACCATGTAACTCGAGGCATTAAGTCAATGGAAAATGGGATAGGGACCTTGGACCAAGATTTGATAACATTATTTCAGCAAATGGCTTGGCGTCACTACTCTCTCCTTCACTCCCAGCTACATGCTCATACAGACAAAGCATTAGCCCTAATTGCCGCACTGTCGACAACTGCTCCTGTTGTATTGGTCATTTCATTGACCCAAAGATTAAGGAGTTTCTCAACCTTATCTAAATGAGGAATGCTAGTCACCAACGACACTCTCGAACTCACAGGGGTTGCCGTTTTCACACAGTCTCTAATTTTTTGCTCACTTTTTTTAATGGTACACACAGTCAATTCACTTAAACTGTATTGGCAAGCAATCTACACAGCACTATTGCCTTCTCTTAATTCATCAAGGATTTCTATTTTCTTACATGCTGTCTTGGGCACAACATCAAAGGCTTTCTTTGACACCATTTTCACAAATATTCAGGGGTAACATAACCAAAAATGATGGACAATCTGGGAGGAGATGACAAGTGATGCTGATGCTATGTAAGCAGACTCCAAACTAACAACCGCTTTACCGCAAACAGCGTAAATGTGAAGCAGGGTATCACATGAGTTGAAACATGGTCACGTTATATAAAGCGTGTATACGTGAATCAGTGTAACTCAAAACCGTGTAACTGGGTGTCCGACAGTACATATATACACACACCAAAGTGCGTGCGTGTGACCACTGTATGCAGAGGCATGGCTGGGCAAGTCCATACACAGGGCAGCTACACGACATTCAGACTATCCTGGCCAACACTGTCAAATGTTACCTCTGGACCTGATGAGAAACTCCATTTTGCCAGGGCCTGCCAGGAGACACCTCAAAGGGGCTGAGCCTTCACAAGCTCCTGAAAAGCCGGGCCCCAAAACAGTGCTTTTGGTTGGGCATACAAATGACTGTAGCTGTTAGCATGCATACACCACCCCCCCACCGTATAAATACATATATACATGCTAATGGCCACAATCATTTTGCATACGGTCCTTGGGCCAGTGCTGTTCAACATCTTCAGCAGTGATTTGGACAAGGGTGTAGTGAGTGAGCATACTGTCCAAATTTGTGGGTGACACCAAATTATGGGGCAAAGCAGACACACTGGAGGGCAGGGAGCAGATTCAGGAGGATTTGGACAAGCTGGAGAAATGGGCAGAAAACAGGATGCAGTTTAAGAAGGACAAGTGCAAAGTGCTGCACCTAGGGAGAAGGAATCACCAACACACACACACAGACTGGGAGGTGACTTTCTAAGCAGCACAGCAGCAGAAAGGAAGCTCGGAGTCGCAGTCGACTCCAGGATGAACATGAACCATCGGTGTGATGAAGTGACCAGTAAAACTAACTGCACTCCATCATCCATTAGCAGATGCATCACAAACAGATCTAGGGAGGTGATCCTCCCCCTCCATGCGGCACTGGTCAGGCCGCAGCTGGAGTACTGCGTCCAGTTCTGGGCACCGCACTTCTGGAGGGATGTGGACAACATGGAGAGGGTCCAGAGGAGGCCACTCGCATGGTCAGGGGCTTACAGGATAGGTCTTACGAGGAGAGGTTGAGGGACCTGGATGTCTTCAGCCTCCATAAGAGAAGGCTGAGAGGGGATTTGATGGCCATCTACAAATTCATCGGGGGGGGCAGCAAGGACTAGGAGATACTCCGTCTACCAGAGCACCCCTTGGAGTAACTAGATACAATGGCCACAGACTGACAGAGCAGATTTAGACTGGACATCAGGAAGATCTTCACAGTAAGGGCAACCAGAATCTGGACTGGGCTCCCAGGAGGTGGTGCTCTCCCCTACCTCGCGGGTCTTTGAGAGGCGGCTGGATGTGGCTCATCTGACCCCAGCGCTCTGTGCTGCCCAGGGCAGGGGGTCGGACTCGATGATCTACTGAGGTCCCTTCTGACCCTGAAAATCTATAAAATCTATACATATCTAACTTTGTATAAGTATCGTATTCATATATGTACATGTATGTATCTTAGTCTCTAAAGGTGCACATCCACCCTGCCTCGCAGCTGCTGGTGCCACTGCTGCAGCCCCTGCCGACAGCCTCCCCTCTGCTTGGTTGGCAGGAATAAACTTGCCTGTGTCGGCTCTGTCTGTGCAGGGAAGGGGTCACAGGTTGAGCACATCTGTTCTAAGGCCTTGCGTGTGTCCTGCCAAAATCCCTGCCTATGCTGCCAAGCCAGGAAGAGGTTAAGCATTTTCTTCTTCTGAGTCTGGCAGCTTCTCCTCCTGGATGCATCCGGATCCCTTGCTCCAGAGGTTTCCAGCAACCCGAAACCATGACTCAACTTCGTCCTCCTCCCCGCGGAGCAGGCTGTGCAGAGCTCTGCCTCGGAGAGGCAGCTCTGGCCAGGCCCTGCCTACAGCGAGAACAAAGCAGCGCTCGCTCCCGCCCGCCCGGAGATGCCAGGGTTACGTGGGGCACTGTGGGAGACAACGGCGAAGCCCGGCCTGGCTTGGCGAGAGCGGAGTTATTTCTGAGTGGGAGGGTGTCTACAAAGCCACGTATTCTTGTCCAGAGCAACATCACCGGAGAGAAAGGAAGAAAGGAATCGTTCAGTCGCTCCGCCTGGAGGACAGAGCGGCTCTCTGGCGAGACTCACGTCCTCTAGATCCCAAGGGGAAACGCCAGGCCTGGGGCCCTGATTCAGCAGAACAAACTTATTCAGAAAAAGTGCCCACGTTGGCATTCAGGCTCAGCCGGGCTCACAGGCCCGCCCTGGCCGTCAGCGCACACTGAAGCGTGTCAGTATGAGGGCTGCAGAGAGTACATGGCGTCCCCTGCTCTACCAGGACAGCCAGTGTTTGGGAGCCCTGCTTCTCCCCCGTGCGTCAAAGAGGGAGCCTGAAGCGTGTCCTTGACCAGCACTGAAGTTTTAGCAGGTCCATGGCATTAGCCCAGCTTGCAGAAACAATTGAGGCGTCTTCGACATGGCGTTATAGCTTGGAGAGACAAATGTGGCACAGACTCCAACGTGGGGATGCATTGATAGCAGAAGTGGGACTTACAAATCAGCCCATGGGATGAGGGAGGAGGGTTGATCTTTACAGGCCTTTTCCCTTCTCCTCCACATTTCGCACAGATGCAGCTTTATTAGAGGGACAGCAATTATTAAGCAGGTCCTAGCACTTAAGCTACCATGTCCGCTGGAGCCACGATGGGGCACGTGGAGGCAGCCTGATGGATCCAGACCAGCCTCCCCTCCCCCAATGCCATTCCTTCCTTGTGATCAGGTTTCTAGGGAGGGGATGTCCTGGAGCAGAGGCCTATGGGGACTCCTTGCTAATGCCCTGCAGGATGGGTGGTAGCTGCTGTTCAATACGTAGCAGCCCCACCTAGAAGTGCTGGGCTGAGACTTAGATCCAGCTCTGCCAGTCATCCTGCATGACCTTGGGCACATCATTTATCTCCATGCCTCAGCTCTGCCTGCCTGCAGAAGGGCTATTCCTCCTCCTCTCTCCCGCTTCTGCAAGTCTGTGAGTTCTCCAGGGCAGGGACTGTCCCTGACTGCGCGTAGGTGTGCACAGAACAAAGAAACCACAATCTCCGCTGGGGCCTTTGCCCGCCCCCGTAATACTCCTCTTACTAACACGACACAAAGCGAGGCAGCTCCTGCCAGCGCCTGCGAGGCTGGTCTCTGGTTCCCTGCTGGAGGTTTCTTCTTCCGTGGGCCCCAGAGCCCAAAGAAGGGGTGGATTTTGATGGCCCTGAGCACAACAAGTTTGAAAAAGCGGGGTGCACATGGTGAGATGCATCATCACATGTCAAACAACACCCATTTTTCTCCAGTTAAGAAGAAACTAGAAGCTTTATTAATAAGCCAGGGGCCTGGGGCTGTGTTATTCAGTTTAAGACTGAAGAAAAACAAATATAAATTTCATTGGAAGGAGTTAAAAACAATCTGCAGGGCTGTGAAATAAGAGCTTTCCCAGACAGCAGAACAAAGGGGGGCTTGATTGGAGGAACATCCAGATCATTGCACAGAAGAGAGCCTCATTAACACCTGCAGAATGAAGAGTGGAGAAGGGATCCGGTAGATCACAATGAGCCTTAAAGTTAATTGCCTCTTTCAGTGCTGCCTGACTAGAAATGCTACTGTCACTGCCAGGTTTTAAACTTTGGGTGCAGCAAGGATGAAAGAAAGCTGCAAGTGCACCAGTGCACCCCCCTGGATCCACCCCTGGCCCTGGTGGGGGGAGGAAGCTCCACTTCTGTCCCAGAGCCAGGCAAGCAAGGGAAAGAGCATCTCACCTGGACTTCCCCCTCCATCACTGTCACCGGAGACCTGGTGGCACCGGCCGTGCTCAGCGATGGAGGCTCGGCAGTGTTCGGTCCTGAGACGGTCCTGCCCGCTCCCCCTGCAGCCTTGGAGCTCTGGAGGAGTCAAGCCAAGTCAAGGGAGATGCGTGTTCCCTGCTGAATGTCTCTGGCTGCCAAGTCCCTGGGGTAATCCTCTGGGGATTAGAGATGCCTGGGGCCATTACCTCTCTGTTTGCATGTAAACCGCAGCCCAGCTAAATCCCATGGGGAAAGAACGCTGTGTTTATTTTGCAGGTGTCTGAGGCCTGCCAGGTCCTTGTCAGCGGTCTCCTTCCTCACCAGCATCCAGCCGGTTCTTTGGAAACCAGCAGGAATTGATCTGGAAAGCCACGGGCTCTTCCACACGGGGTTCAGGCAGGGAACTGGTTCTTGCACCCAAGGAACAACATCTGTGTTGCACTGCCAGCATCTTGGCTATTCTCAGACCAAAAGGAGAGAGGAATCACAGACTCAAGGGGCGCTAGTAACTCAATCACATCAGGTGCCGTTTGCTCAGCACCAGCCCCAGGCACCACCCACATCCCACTCGAGTTGAAGCTGCGGCTTAGGAATAGGGCAACTATATTCCCCATCCCCAACTAGTTGTGTTGTCACCAGGACAAAAGCAGTCCAGCAGGACATTGGGGATAAACATTTAAAGCAGGAACATCCCACTGAAAACCAGGACCAGTGATCACCCTGCCACAGGGGCCACGGACCAGTGCTGGAGAATGCCTCAGTTAAGCCAAGCCCAGAGGCACAAAACCAGCCCTCCAGGCTCATACTTGTTCCTCAAACAAGATCATTAGCATGCCCCCCCAACCCCAGTGGTTCAGACGTGCGTCACTAGTTACAAACCCAGGCTGTCGGCAATGATGGAGCGTGTCTCATCTTACAATTGCAGCTCCAGCAGGGACAAAGGGTAGCTGAAGTCGTCTTTCTCTTTGCTTATTGGCACAGTGTCACGGTCCAAGCCAAAGTGCTGGCTGGCTGTGCATGTCTCTGGATGGGTCGATGCAGGTGTCCAGGAAACAACTTCTTGCACTGGGTGCAGATTCCTGACACGGGAGAAAGAAATTTGCGTAGACTCAAGTGACTCATGAATGACATTAAAATGCAGTCGTGAATCAAGACAACATGATAGAGATTAGGTTGGTACAGATAGCATCTTCCCTGCACCTTGCCTTCACTTTTGTAACCCTTTTTGCTTATCCAAGTGACATCTTTCACCCACGTATTTATAATGCTTTGGCTGTTGCATCCAACACAGTGCCCAGGAATGACTTTTGCATGACATACATCAGATGACATAGGGACACCCAGCAGAGTTACACAGGATGTGACACGTGTTGCATACAATAGTTTCATAGTTTCACAGATTTAGGGTCGGAAGGGACCTAGTAGATCTTCTAGCCCA